GCCTTGGGCTGCCCAAAGCACCAACATATCTGTGTTGGAAGAAGTACAGCCAGAGTGCTCCTTGGAGGCCAGGATGGCCAGACTTCGTCTCTCATACTTCGGACATATTGTCAGGAGGGACCAGTCACTGGAGAGGGATATCAAGTTTGGTAAGTTGGAGGGTCAGAGAAAAAGAGGAAGACCCCCAGGGAGATGGATAGGCCAAGTGGCAGCATCAATGGGCTCAAGTGAGGCAACGATTGTGAGGTTGGCCCAGGACTGGGCAGTGTTTCCTTCTGCTGTACATAGGGTCGCTATGAGTCGGTGCTAACTCGATGGCAACTAACAACAAGAAGATATAATAGGGTCCTTGTGTGGTGCTATAGGATAAGCACTGGACTGTTAACCACAAGGTCGGTGGTTCAAGTCATGACCCACTCCTGGGAAACCTTATACAGGGTCGTTATGAGTCAGAAATGACTCTCCAGCACTTACTAACAACAAGAAGATGTAATGGTAAGGAGTCTTATTGGCACAATGGTTAAGTGCTGTAATGCTAATCAAAAGCTCAGCAGTTCAAACACACTAGCTGCTCCACTGGAGAAAAATGTGGCAGTTTGTTTCTGTAAAGATTGCAGTTAAGTGCCATCGAGTTAGTTCTGATTCATAGTGACCCTGTATAGGATTTCCAAGGAGTGGATGGTGCATTTGAACGTCCTACCTTATTATTGGAGTCCTGGTGTGGTGCTGTAGGATCAGCACTGGACTGCAAACCAAAAGGTCGGCAGTTCAAACCCACCAGCTGCTCCCTGGGAACCCTGTACAGGGTCTCTAAAAGTCGGAGTCAACTCTACAGCATTTAACAACATAACATCAAGTTCAATCACCTGTTATATTCCGTAAGGAGTCCTGGTGAGGTTGTGGTGTAGGATAAGCACCAGACTGCAATGTCTGTTTGAACCACAAGGCCGGTGGTTCAAATCCACAGCCACTTCTCAGAAACCCTGTACAAGGCCACTATGAGTTGGAACCTACTTGAGGGCTCTTAATAACAACAACACCTTATGATTAGCAGTCCAGTGTTTGTCCTACAGCGCTACACCAGGACTCTGTGAAGATTACAGCCTTGGAAACCCAATGATGTGGTTATACAATGTCTTACTGGGTCACTATGAGTTGGAATAGACTTATCAATGAGCTTTAAAAAACATAATGGTAAGCTTTAAGAGTTCAGTGTCATTTAAAAATCAGTAATAGGGATTATATTAATTTACAGTGTATGATTCAGTTTCATATGTAAATATCTGTGGAAGAACAAGGTGATTACAATATGTATGCGGTATCATCTGATTTTAAATGATTGCAGGGTTTCCCATTTTACTAAAATGGAAATCAGTATCTTCAATTTTAGTTGCATGTTAGTGTGATGAGTTCACAGCCACCTTCTTAATAATGCCTTGAGTGAACAGAAGTTCTTACTTTTTATGACATTTAAGTTACCAGCCTTCTTCTTTTATGGTTAGTGCTTTTGGTGTCCTACTTAAGGAATCTTTGCTTCTCCAAAGGTCCTTGGGGCTGACAGAATAGAAGGCTAAAGTTTTTCGTTAGTGTGTAATCTGTTTTTCTTGTTTGTTACACTGTTTCTATCCTAGGAATTGAAACATTTCATCAAAATGTGTGCTGTGGTTCTTTCTAAATTAATTTGGTGAGTGCTTTTGACATAAGTACTCAAATCTTTCTTCAGTTCAAAGAAATGTTCACCCATTATTCCTCTGACTTGTGGCACTGTAGGATAAAGTACTTACTGTATGGCAAGATCAGTTTGAATCACGAAGTCTAAGGTTGCAATTCAATAGCCACTCCTTGGAAGCTGAGTCAAAAGGGAGGGACTCAACGGCAGTTAACAACAATTGCTTCTCTGATCTCTTTCTGGAATTCTTATTATTTCTTTATTGATGCAATTTGGAGACGTCCTGATGTGGTGCTGTGGGTTAATGCGCTGGACTGTAAGAGTGGTTTGAACCACAATGTCTGCGGTTCAAGCTCACCAATCGCTCCTCAGAAACCCTATACAGGGTCATTTTAAAAGTTGATACCAACTAGAAGACATTTAACAACAACAATACCTGGTCCAAGCCATGGTATATTCAGTCACCTCATTTGCATGTGAAAGCTGGACATTGAATAAGGAAGACCAGAGAAGAATTGATGCATTTAAATTATGGTGTTGACAAGAATATTGAAAGTACCAGAAATACAGCTGGAATGCTCACTGGTAACAAGGATGGTGAGACTTGGTTTCACAGACTTTGGACATGTTATCAGGGGGGACCAGTCTCTGGAAATGTACATCATGCTTGGCAAAGTAGAGAGTCAGCAAAAAAGAGAAAGACCCCCCAGTGAGATGAATTGACACCTTGGCTGTAACAATGGGCTCAAACATGACAGTTATGAGAATGTGCAGGACCTGGCAGTGTTTTGTTTTGTTGGGCATATGGCTGCTATGAGCTAGAACCAACTCCATGGCACTTAAAAACAGCACACCTTAACTGTTGGCTTGTAATTTTTATCAAATGCTATATAATTTTACCCTTTATTCTTGGAAAAAGTTCATGTATCCTTTGAATTAATTGACTTATTTCTGTAATACCAAATTCACTGCTCACATTTATCGTATCACTAAAATTTGGAATTCATATTTTCCAAGCCAAGAATATTCTTATGCAAATTGTTTCATTTTGTGTGTGACAACCTACTCTTGCTTTTACAGACTCATTGTGTCTTAATTCACATTACTTTGCGTTGTAACTCTTTCATAGGGAAGCATTTCCTCTGATTTTAAAAAATGAGCCTCCTTTTAGTTGTGAAATCTTTCACTTTCCAGTGCTGCCATTTTTCTGCTTGTGCCTCCATTGCAGTGGATGTGAGACTAGCACTGAGAATGGAGGTGGTTTATGTGGGGCCTGACTCAAGTCTTTGAGATGTCAAGAAGAAATAAAGGGATCTTTAAAATCACTCCCTCCACTTTCTCTTTGCCAGATAAAGGAGGATTGAAAGATTGCTCATTCAGACTCCTCCAGCATCTCTTTGCCCTCGCTTCCTACCCCCACAGTTGTCCACTCCTTCCTGTCTTTAGTTGGCTCATTTAGGAACCAGCCTTGGCAGTGGTACACATCACACAGCTTGCCACCTGTGTTAGGGGTAAAGCCAGAGTGCTGTGGCTTCTAGAATCCATTCTGTGCCGCAGAGGCATTGGGGAGCTGGTGCCCCCAGCTCAGAATCAGCCTTCATCCCCGGCCCTGTGTACCAGGCAGGTGAGGGTCCATGGACCATACTCAGTCCCATGCCATTTCGTCCTAGGAAACTGTTGTACTCCCATGCTTAAATGATAAATTGGACAGCTCCTCTCTCAATTTAGTCTAGTGAACCACAAGGTCAGCAGTTCAAACCTCTACAGCCACTCCTCGGACACGCTATACAGGGTCACTATAGGTCGGAACCGACTCGATGGCACTTAACAACAACAACAAAGTCATTTGAGCTCGGGAATTGTGCTGCTGCAACGCTGAATAAAGTTCCTTGGAACTAGCAGAAAGGAAAAAAAAATGCAAATAAGAAGGAATTTGTTGTTAAGTGCTGTCCAATTGATTCCAAATCAAAGTGACTCTGTGTAGAGTTTCTGAGGAGCAACTGGTGAGTCTGAACCACGGATCTTGCAATTAGCAGGCCAATGCATAGTACGGTGCCACGCCATGAGTCCAGGGAGGGAAAGGAAACACAAATACAGATGTTAGCAATGGGCCAGACCCAGGCTTTGTCGAAAACACTTTTATGTATGTCTACATTAAACTGAATGAAGTAGGCAGAAACCTAACTTCTTGGTGTCTATGTCTAATCCAAGAAATAATCTAAGCAGCTATACTTTACATGTGTCACCTTCCAAAATGATCACAGAAGTATTT